TTAAGGTTAAGGGTTTAGGGTTCAGAGTCTGAAGTCCATACCATACATAGGGGGCTTCACCAAAATTTTGAGCCTCTGCTTGATAACTAGGTACTTTGGATTTGGGCGATAGTAATAATAGGATAGCTTCTTTGCAAGTATATGATGATTAGATACTTGGACCCTTAGGGGCACTGTATGGTTTGACCTGCATGTTCAGAAAACCCCACTTCTTGCAGGATGTGTAGAGTCTTTAACCCTGCAACTTGGAGGCTACCATTCATGCCTACATTCACACACATACACATAAACTTTTCAAAGTCACAAGGAAAAAGCAGGGATAGCCAGGGATAGCTTCATGAGGAAGGAATCACTGAAATCAGTACCTTTGGAATCTTGAACAGTGGAGGCTCATTTTGCATGGATACGGTTGTGGTTCAAACAGTCATGCAGACCCGTGATTTAAAAGAAAAAAAATCCTTTTAAGGGCCTTCCTATCAGGATCCCTATTATTATGGTCCCTCTTAAGAGGAAGGGGTTCATTAATCACGGGGCTACATTACCCTTACCCTAGGACTCTACGCACAGCTGCAAGGAATCTCATCACTCAAGCAGAGAGAGAAGTGCTCCCTGGTTGAGGCTCCATGGGAACGTGGGACTCTCCCAACATGATCCCCGTATGATGAAGCATGATGCCGCTGCAATGCCCACATATACCCAGAATGCTTCGGGTCAGCCACTCATCTTGAGAAACAGCTATGTGGATACGTCTTGCAATCCCTGACTGAAGCTCAGGGACCTAGCAGGGTGGTTAGAGCTACTTCGCAAGTACCCCCTGCATCCAAGACCTTTAAAAGCCCATGTTGCTTACTAGAAGTCCTGTGCATCGTCCCCAACTCCGCAGCTCAGCACTGCCCCTGAGGCTATGCCCAACAAGCAGCCAGGAACCAAGGAGCCCACATTCTTGCCTAAGCCAGTGCTTCCGCCAGTTTTGGGCGGCATGATCGCAGTAGGGGCGTCTTGGGGGGGCGGCATAAGGAGGGACAAGTTTCCTAAACAAGCAGTTTGCTGGTGGGGTTGTTAAGTAAGATGCGTGAGGCAGCTAGCTCTGGCTCAGTACTCACATCTGTTCCTTCTGCAACCCACTTTACTACTCAAGAGTGATGTTTGACTTTTCAATATTTCATTCAAGCAGCTTCTTCGGAGAAGGTGCTTGTTTGCATCGATGACAAGACTACAAAGCTGGAGCGACAAGCTGCTTTAGCCTCGATCAGTGATCCTGCCCCATTCTTGTTAGCCATTGACGGTACACCATGTCCTACCCAGGTTTCTGGGTGGGCGCTGACCCGCACAGCCCTCAGCTCCGAGCCCACGAGCAGATGATCGCAGGCAATGCAAGAGTTGCGCTGTTGGAAGGTGATATCCAGTTTCCATTTCACTTGCCACCTTCTTTTCAAGTTTATTCTCCGTCAATGAGGGGGGTATATCCCTAAACCCTAAACCCAACACCCTGAATAGTAGCTTCAATTTTTCCATAATTACTATATAAACCCTATCTAAGCTACAGTCTAAACTCCAAGCATCCCCGTTAATAACCCCTATAATGTTCCCTTATATAATCTCCTACATAGCCCCCCCCTTAACCGAATTTAGACTGTAGCTCATACCAACCCTTGCGGTCCCGGGCTGCGGGCTACGGCTCCAGTGCTAAGCTAATACTACCACGGCTACTTGCTACACCTACCGCGACTGCTGCAACCCAATACAAAGGTCATATAGAGCTTAGGGCTAAACCTAACAAACTCAAATTCGCCGAGGCTGATCCAGCCTTAGGGCGTTTGGAACCCTCTAAAACCTCCTCACCCCCTGGCCCCCCTGGCCCCTCCCCCAAAGCAGCTTCTCTTTTTGTGCACCCCAGCAGCCGAGGCGGCTTCTAAGGCGTTACAATGGACCCTTGTGTCCTAGCGCTTTGACACAGGAAACTGCAAGGGATCGGGGTCTGTTTTCCTAACTGTTCGGGAGTATGCCAAAATTGAAGGGTTCATATGGATCATGGTATTTTGCGGTACATGAGGTGGCCCCCTTTTTACGGAATCATATAGCATCTATACAACCCCTGTTTCCATTTCATTGTCCAGAAGGTTTCCCACTTGATTCTTCATCCACTAACCCTGAACCCTATATATCCCTGTATACCTCTACTAAACATCCCTTCATAAGCCTCAACGACCGATCCCTAGATCCTAAACCCTAAACTCGAAACCCCAAACCTCAAAACCCAAACCCTAAACCCTAAAGTGTCCCTATATAACCCCTATATGACCCGTATAAACCCTATATAACCCTTCTAAACCCCAAACCACGGGAGCCTACGTCGGCCTTCTTTTTTCTCACCGCCGCCGGTAAGCGCTGCCAGGGCGGAAGGCCGCCGGAAGGTTTGATACAGCAGCCGCAGTTTCCTGTTTGGTTTACAGATAGAACATGGGGGTTATATAGGGATTATATAGGGGTTATGTGGGGGATATACTCCTTCGAGATTTTAGGGGTTACATAGGGATTCTGGGGATTATATTGGGGTTATAGTGGGATAATGGAAAAGAAAATGGAAACTACTATTTAGGTTTTAGGGTTTAGGGGTTTAGGGTTTGGGGTATATAGTCCTCCTTAGGTAGATAGACTATGGCTTTGGGTATATCAGAATAAGATCCCCATGTACCCCATATACTATCTACTCAAAGGGGACTATAGGGTGAAGGGTTTGGGAGTAGGGTTGAGGGTTTAGGGGTTTAGGGTTCAAGGTTTAGGATTTTGGGGGGGTTGGGCTTTAGGGTTCAGGGCTTAAGGTTTAGGGGATCTCACGTGATCTGATTATTGTCCTAAGAAATCACTCAGGCTCTGCCCCCCAACAACATTAAACCCTTTTCCCAACCCGCAAACCTCAATCTAAGCCTAAACCCTAAACCGTACACCCTAACCCTGAAGCCTAAACATCTGAACCCCTGGGTTGGCCCCTAAAACCAATTGAAAAATTCAAATATATAGGGTCCCTTATTAAAGCCATTAGGGAAAATATTAAATGTCCCAGGGGCCTACCCAGACCCTAAACTGCAGAACTCCGTACCATCAAGCACTCTAAGATCTGAAGCCCTGAGCACCAAACCCTTACCCTAAGGGTCGAAGAACCTAAATAACAGGGTTTTAGGGCCCAAATACTATAATATTAATGGTATTTGGGCCCTAAAGCCCTACTATTTAGGTCCTTGGACCCATAGGGACTGATAAACCTGGTGCCTGCTACACTGGTGGTGAACATC